TTTTCACGAATTAATTATTCATACTGTGTAGATTGCGCTTTTAGCTTTATCGCACTTAGGAACAGTCCTCTAGAGAAGAATCTCAAGATTCTGGATCTGCTATCCGAGTCAGTGAATTTGTTGATTCAGTGGCAGAAAAATCAGTATTCAGATCCAGGAAGTAATTCCAGTGGAGTAAGCAATAACAGTAGCTCTTCTTTGGATGAAAATCCAAGAGGTGGATCATCAAATTTCACCATGAATCTATTTGTGAAACTAGGAGAGGCATTTAAAAAGACGAGCCTAGCTAGGCGAGAGGAGATAAGGAACTATGCAGTTCAATCTCTACGCAAGAGTTTTGATCTGGCTGACGAGCTGCCATTCACTTCAGCAAATTATATAAGCTGTCTCAACCTAGTGATATTTGCAATGGTGGATGATCTTCATGAGAAGATGTTGGAATACTCAAGGAGGGAGAACTCAGAGAGGGAGATGAGAAGTATGGAAGGTACACTGAAGATTTCAATGGAGCTAATGACAGATGTGTACTTGCAGTTCTTGAAACCATTATCTGAGAGTAGTGGATTTCGAACGTTCTGGTTGGGAATTCTGAGAAGAATGGATACTTGCATGAAAGCTGACTTGGGACAATATGGTGCATCAACTGTGCAAGATTTGGTCCCGGACTTGCTGAGGAGGATCATCACGAGAATGAAAGAGAAGGAGATCTTAGTGCAAAGAGAAGGTGATGATCTGTGGGAAATAACATACTTTCAGATACAGTGGATTGCTCCTGCCCTTAAAGATGAGCTTTTCCTGATTAACACCACATCTTGTTTATTAAATCAAGATTTTCTTTTTTGGCGCCAATTTCATTATTCTGCAGAATTTTAGACGATGTTTTTTTGTTGTTCGTATTTCTACTTGTCGAAATACTCACAATAACAGAGTTTAGATTGTTACATGTATTTTCCAGACACAGATAAAAATGCAATACAATCTCATATTCCATGTAAAAGCGCCAGTTTACTCTAATTACTTCTAAAGAAATCATAACCTTGTTATTATTTTTCGGTGCATCTTAAAAATATTCTTTAAAAAACCCTATAACTTGATGTTTGCAAAAGTATCCTAAAAAAAAAAAAAATCTAATGACGAGGCAACTCCAAGTCAAATTGATCTGCGTCATTAATATTCAAAATCACGTTAAATATTTTTTAACTATTTTATATCTAAATTTATTTTTCAATTATATTATCCAAGTGAGTTTCAATTTGTTAAATTGATTCTTTTACAAACATCTAAATCAGGTTACACTAATTAATTTTTATCCCCACTTCAATTTGCCAGAAGTCAATTCAAATAAAAGTTATTTTTACTAGTGTTAATCCAAACAAGCCCCAATGAGCAAGCGTTAACGAATTGAATATGGAGTAAGGTCCAATTGAGCCCAAATAGAATTACTGAGTTTCAACCCAAAACAAAGAAAATCAGACCCGATTGGGCTTGGGCTTCGAAATGGGTTTGATCGTCAGCCTGATCTCTTTTTGTCTTTTTGGTGTACCTGCTTGATCTCACTTTAGAATCACTCCAATTTTTTTTTTTCAAAAAAAGAATGCTTAAATGAGAGTCCCGCATTGTTTTTTCGTTTTTGCTATTTTTTCTGATTTAAAACGAAAGGATATGAGCTTCTTAGTTTTTTGTTTTTGTCATATTTAGAAAATTTGAATGAACAACAGACATTGGTCTTGGTAAAAAGGGGTACGAGAATCTCAAATCTGAGAGCTCCAATTAGATTTGACCATTATGCAAAATTTAACTCAATTATACTATAAATATATACTACCTCTTGTCGTAATTATAAGACTTTAATTGTAGATTATAAACGAGGTCTTATAATTAGGATCGGAGTAATATCATATAACTATTAAAAAAAGAAATTTTTATTTAAAATTTAAATATATATTATACAACACAAATTTAAACTTTCTAGTAGAGTTGCAGGTTATTTCGACCAAGCTTGTGATGGTCGTGAATATCTTACGCTAGATTTTGTTTTCCAACAACTTTTGTTTACGAGCAATCATATAAATATATATATATATATATATATATATATATATATGTAGAAGCAAGCCCATACGGATAGATACAACTCGGATATGTTTTCCTCCTCCAGCCTCAGCCAATAGCTAGCTAACTACAAGCTTAGGATATGTTTGGATTGACGTTAGGTAAAACTAACTTCTAGTCTAACTGATTTTTGTAACTGAAGTTAGAGTAAAAATCAGTTAGTGTAATGTGATTTATGTTTGGGTATGTGCTTATAAAAGTCAGTTAAAAAAGTTGAAAGTTGTTTGGATGATGAATAGAAAAGTTAGTTTAATTCTAAAATGATTGAAAAGGACATAGATTTTATTAAATAGTAGTGTTTGAAATTTTATATTTTTAATGTAATAATAGTTTAAAAAATATGTAAAATTATTATGATAAAATATAAATAGTTTATTTGTGAAATTATAAAATAAAAATATTTGTTATGGAGAAAAATTTGAAAACATATTGTCGATAATTAATGAAATATACATAATGGACAAATATAAATATAAATTAAAATTCATTTAATCTCTAATTAAAGTAAATTAAATCACATAACTAATTAGATTGTAAGCTCTGCACAATTTTCCTATAAGTCAGTCAGAAAAGTTAATTCAGATTGCGTTGGATAAGTCAGTTAGAAAAGTTACTTTACCCTATAAGTCAGTTAGAATAGAAGTTCCATCCAAACAAGCTTTTGAGTCACAATAAGCCACAAACCTTAGTTTTACGCTTCCCCATGTGCTTTTATCATTTTCAACAGCAATCCAAACGAGCCTTTAATTTCGTTACACAAGCTAGAATCAAACTGATAAACAATAACTTTTTCCGTTGGCCAAAAAAAAAACAACTGTAGCATTCCTCCAGTCCTTAATATAGGACCCAATTGTTGAGTGGTTTTGATCCTAAATATAAAACCCATTTTTCATATTTATCAAATTTCTCTAAATTACCCTATGGATATTTCCTCAACCATAATCAAGTAGAAAAGGGAGAGGGGGCATTAAGAAATATGATTATAGTGTTTTAGGAAAAATGTGTCACATTTCTTATAATTAGCTAACTTATCTAATTTCCTTAATATAATCAAAATAGTTAAATGGGTCTTACATTAAGGACCGGAGGAGTAATTTTTTTGCTTAAGAAATTGAATAATTGAGGACAACGCTCTGTTTAAATTATTTTTCCAGTTGTTGCATTCCACATTTTTCAGTCTCTCAATTAAATGGCTAGCAAAAGTAGAATATTATGATCAGGCTGAGGATGGAATGTATATATATCTCTCTGTTCGATCTCTCTGACCAAAGACTGAACACAACACCGCCGTGCGACGTACGTACTCATCTCACAATGAAAGCTCGATTTGGATGCAAGAATAGATGTCTAAGCCCATGGATGTCCCTTACATTAACTTGCTTTGAATTTGGTTCTTTGTGATTGCAAACATGTTTCTGCATCTTTCGGCACAAAGCTACTCTTATTATTGATTTTGGATTAGCTTATTGAATTAAAGATGATATTAGATGTAAGAAGAGTTTTGTCTTATTACACGTAAAACTAGAAAAATTAATCCAAGCACTCAAATTCCAAAATATCCAGACACACACACACACTATTTCTATAATTAATATAAGAGCATGTTTTATTTTTATTTTAATCCTAAATATAAGACCTCAGTCTATTTTATTTTTTATATTTACCCTTTTTTTTCTAAGATGATTCTTGTAATAATGATAATTGTAACCAATACACTTGATTTAGGAAAGATAAAACCTATTTATTACAAATAACTAACTTAACCAGTTTTTTTAATCTACTTAAATTAGTCAACTAGCTCTTATAGTAGCATCAAGGACTAGAGGTAGTATTATAAATAACTAACTTAACTAATTTTTTTAAACTATGGTATTCAATTCTCACATCTACTACCACGACAGCTCTGAGTGAGAGATCATACTGTGAGCCATTTAAGTGGGGACATGCAAAAGGTGTAAGCTTTGTCAGAACCACCCATTATACCTTCTCCCCATCTTTAAGTTACAGACGAAACACGTAAGTACTGTGCAGTTAATGGCGGCATGAGACTCCACCTTCCTTCTTCGTCTTACCTTTTCCCTCTGTAACTTGCTGGCGCTGCGGAGTTAATGGCTGCATGGGATTGCACCGACTCCCCAATCATGAATGCGAAAGCAACATCACGCTAACCAGCATGTGGTAGAACTAAATCCATGATTCCAGTACCGTGTAACGTGTCTTCTGACACTGCAATAAAAAACCACTCCCCACTTTTTATCTCTGCATTGATTAAATCCCGCGTACAGTATATATCCTCAAGTTAACTTTCCGGTAGTTTGGGTAAAACCGATCGATGGCCACCTAATATGGATTTAAGAGGATATATAGTACTGTTTGAGATGGTGGATCTAAGCTAAATCCCACGACTAGCTTGTGAATAACTTGAATTTCCAAACTAAAGTGCAAGCTTATATCTAATTCATTTTTTATTTCACTGTAAAGCTAACGTATATGGGTGTGTGCGTGTGTGTGTAGTATATCCTTTCACTCTGACGACAAAAAACAGTCACTTTGCTTTGGTTCATTTTTCATTTTTCATTGCAGACAAATATAAACATGTCACATTAGTTTAAAATAATATATAAAGCAAGATGAAATATATAGGCGAACGGAATCTAGCTATTTCTTAACAGCAGGAATTTAACAGACTATGTTAGAATTTAAAAATTCGGAAAAAATGCGAATGATAATTTGGAATTCAATTGAATTTTCGCACTTATTACTAAATTGTTTTACATTTTTGTTTCCTTCACATAACCTGCAACTATATATATGCGTGCATGCCAAGTGAATGTCTCATGCAGTGACTGAACTTTTCTATTCAGTAGTTTACAACTGAAATATAGGTGATGGGGAGGAAGCTGACTTATCTGCTTCTGGTGGGTCTGTGCTTGGTGGTGGGAATATCCCAACACGCAGATGCAAGGAACTTGAAGAAGGCGAAACATCACGAAGATGTGAAGAAGCCGGAGTCCTTTCTCGGGGATAGCTCCGGAGGGATCGGCGGTTTAGGCGGACTTGGAGGAGGCGGAGGAGGAGGGGGATTTGATAATGGCGGAGGACTGGGAGGAGGAGTCGGATCGGGTTATGGGGGAGGCTTAGGAGGAGGCATATTCAAGGGAATTGGAGGGTATGGCGGAATCGGAGGAGGAATTTACAAGGGAATTGGCGGAGGACTCGGTGGAGGAATTGGTGCCGTCGGCGGAGTCGGCGGTGTTATTGGAGGTATGAAGCACGTTGACGCAAATAACAAGCAGCCATGAAACTTATCAGGTTTAGGCTAATATTAGTATCTTCTTAATAATATTCTGCACCCGCAGGGTAAATTAAGTTTGGATTTTGATGTTGTATCTCCAATTCTGCTATAGTTTGTGTCGTCCCAGCACGCAGCCCCTAATTCCTCAAATAATGTGAACAAAAAGAAAACAACAAAAATGGATCTTACTGTTTTCATCAACGATCTCGTTCACATATAGCTTGTTGAGATATATAGAAATGATGTGTTGCTTATGACTTCGTAAAAGAAGATTATCTTCTCTATAAGTTCACGTACGTTGACGCCTTTGCAATTCTTTATTTTAAGATGAAATGTTATAGCTGGTTTTTGAGAGTGTCTTTTCATTCGTTTTTATAACTAGTATTTGACTTTTGTGACATACACTTGTCCAAATATGGGAATATGGGTAATTGGTTAGTTCGATGGATAGCACTTCAAATATTTTCTCATTTGAATGCAGCACTAGTCCAAAGTATTTTTTTAACTTGGTATTAGATGTATCAAAAAATATTTTTTAGTGCACGCACCTAAAAAAATACTTCAAAATGCTAGATGTATAAAAAAATACTTTAAGGTACTTGACGCATTTAAAAAGAATTTCAAAATACTTCAAAATCCAACCTGTATTTGTAAGTATCAAGGATATAGTGCGGACCAGTTTACATGTAATATATATCCTATTTTTCAAAATAAATTGATCCATTGGAAAAAGATATATTCAAACATCACATGTCTTAATAAGCGGATGCAAAACTATATATATCATCATTAATATATTAATAGTTTATTACTAAAATAAATATAAATAAAATAAATGTTACAAATTGACAAAAGAGACGGATAATTATTATATATAAATAAATGTATGTTATAATTGGAAAAAAAAGAGGGTCAAAATTACAAAATCGCAAATGAAAACTCATTGCAACACTTGTATAAATTGGCAAATAATAATAAATTTTTGACAAAATATCTTTTTTGCAATTTTCCCGATCTTTTTTTTTTTTTGTGGTTTTTCCATTTTAATTTAATCATAAGACATAAACCAACATATATATATATATATATATATTACATCCGGTCCTTAATATAAAAGCTAAATAAGTAATTTAATAATATTTAATTAAAAACAAATTCAACCCCTAACCAACTCTTGTATTAAGGAATGTACCATTCTAGTCTTTATTATTTGTCACTGGTATGAGTTTTTTACATATCAATAAAAGCATTAAATAGATAAGATATCTTTCACTTTTGCCCTCCTTAAGGAAAGCATTAAATATTAATATATTTTCTTGCACTCATTCTCTCTCTCTTTACTATAATTAATATGAGCATAATTAAAAAGAAAGCATTAAAAAGAGTATAAGTGAAAAGTAAAAAGGACCAAAATCTCTCCTTACATGTGAAAAATAATAAGCACCAAAGTGGTAGTACAGGCTTATCTGTGTCTCTTATGTCCATGTCAAAATAGGTTACATTTTCTGTTGCCCAAGGACTTTTTTTTTGCTGAATGAAGTGAATTAATTATTAAATTCCTTAGATTCTAAATATTAGAGCTATTTATAGTGTAAATTACATTATGGAATAATTCTTATATGTAGAACTAGAGGAATAACATATTGGATCCAACTCATATTCCCAATCTTCTGTGCAAACAGCTGATAATCGAGCAATAATTCAAGATATAGGAATATAATTAAAATATTAGTGCGTGCACGTGCGTGTGTGAGCGAGAGAATATTAGAGATTTGTCTCCCTTAATAAATTCACTTGCCACTGAATTTAAGTCTAATTAAGATCCAATTTATTAATTAATTAATGTCTAAAGACTTGAAAGACTCCGTCCAAATTATAGATAGATAAAATTTCACTAGATTGCTGCAAATATGATACGGTGGATTGAATATGAGAAGAAATTGTTGGCTAATAAGATGAGTTGAGAGCTGAGTCATGTTGTTGGCCACAACCTTCCGATTCAAAGGAACATGTGTAATAGGAAAAAAAAATCCCTAAATTCACAAAAATGTAACAAGGAAATCATCAAAGGACGATGACGAGACAAAAGAATTAATATAAATATGTGACTATTTTTGTGATTAAGTGGAACGAATATTTGTGAGATCCAATATGTGTCATCACCCCATTTGAAGGGAACTTTATCCATTTCAAGGATTTCCACTTTTAGTGAAATGGGATCCACCGGACAGCACACATACCCAAAGGAACAAGACAGAAGCATGGTGACCATGGAGCAACGAATTAATTGGATCGGTACGAATTTTTAATAGTGAATCTATTGCATTCACAGCCATTTGCATTCTCAAATAAAATCTCCCTCTCCCATTCTCTCGTTTTCTTTTATAAGCACTTCGCTTTGAATTCCTTGGCCACATACGTTACGAGACCACTTTGAGCAGCATGAAACTTATCACTTTTATATTACAACTTGTCATTATTACCCGCTCATGTATGCAAGTGGGGCAATGGTTTGCGCTCTCGGAGTCTTTTCAATATTTAATGCAAATTTTACTAATTAATAAGATTGAATCCAAATCTAGTGGATCCTGGTTTACTTCTTTAGTATGCTTTTTCTGGTTGGGCTTCTTCGTGTGGCTCATATGTTATGCACCCTCTGGAGTTACAGAAAGGACACACATGAAAAGGCAATTTATCGGAAGACCAAATTAATGTCCTTTCGGGACATCCCATAAAAGAAGTCCAAACCAATTAAGGACTTAGCATTCATTTATTTATGCAGTAGATAGAAGAAAAATAATTTAAAATTATATTATTTTATTCAAAGTTAAAACCTATTAAAACATGCCGACATATGATAAAGTATATGCCAATTATTCCACTTATATATTAACCAGATTTAATGTATGCATGTATGTATAGTAGAAAATCTTTAAAAAAATAATCATATTCTTCATAATTTGTAATTACTATGATAACGTATTGGTATTATACATATAACATATGTATCTTAGACTGTTGGGTCGTGTTTTGTGCAAGTAGTTTTTTTTTTTCCTTTTCCCCCGATATTGGTTTGCGCGATTCCACGACCCACTAAAGTGAGAGATTACGAATACAATTAAATAAATATCATTTCCAAAATTTAATATAAACAAAGCATGCAGTATAAGATATGTCCTCATACTTATCAAATCTCATCATTATTAAGTTATGCACTAAACTTTTAGGCAAGCCTTCCTAGCTACATGTATATATATTCTCCACCTTTCACAATTTTAGGGCTCATCGTATTGCTATTTTAGCCGCTTTTTATTCCACTCCCTTCTTCAGAGCTACATATATGGATGATGCATGAGTGATCTTATTAACATCCTCTTTTTCCAAAATTTTCAGAATTAATTTTGATTAATAGTCTTTCAAAAACTTGGACTTCGGCCTCACAAATTGTAATTATGATGCAAATTAAACAATAACAAATAGAAAACATTCATCTCACCAATGTACCAATATGATGTAGGCTTATTATACATCATATTAATCAAGAAGAAAACAGATAAACAAAAATTAACCACGGCATCAAATCACCCATACCAGATCTGATCATCTGAGCCACAACCAAATTAACTTACCTTTTTTATCAATTTTTTTCTCTTTCATGAAATTTCGTTCGATATATATACATAAACAAAAGTCGGAATACGCATGTGTGAATCATTATCATCAATTTCGCGTTCCACATGTATGTGGCCAAAAATAAATTTCGTGCTTCTCATGATAGCGAGAAAGTCGGTGTTTTAATTATTATACGCGATATATATTTGCTTACTAGCAAACCTTAAATAATTTTCATTGTCGCTGTGGCTTCTAGTGCTATAGTACCGCACGTTTTTCCCGAATTGCTCCTTAAATCCAAATCATATTAAGTTGGAAGAGCATATATATATATATATATATATATATATAATCTGAAATATGCTTGCATTTACACTACTATTCACAAAGATTTTTAATTAATTTTCTGCTAAAAACCATATATATATATATTTGATGATAACAGTCGAAAAAGGTCTACAAAATGGAATTATGAGCATTTTCCAGGGAAGGTCATATTCGGGCATTACCTACATACAAGTCAAAAAGTTTAATAAGTCAATAAGGGGCCCAATTAGAACCCCTTTTCCCTTTTTTCTAAGTGGGTCACTATGAATATGCTTTATATTGGTGGAACATGATGTCGTCTTTGTTAAATCCCATATATTATTAAAAAAAATTCATGACCCCGAAAAGAAAAAAAAATTATTTTATTTAATACTATTCATTTTTTTTTTACTGATGCGATATAAATTAAAATTAAATTACTTATTCGTTTTTTGTGTACTGCACCAGATGACTAATAATTCAATTGAAATGTTTTGACTGAGTGATATATTAATTAAAAAATAAAAGAGAAATAAAAAAATTCAAATTGAAAAAAAAATAGAAAGGAGAGATCACATGTAGATCGCTAGTGTATATATGTTTTAGGAACCCCTTTTGATGAGAAAGTTAATATAATCTCACTAAAATTTAAATTCAATTATTTTAGCTCTCCGACATCCGTCCCCCTTTGAAATGAAAACAATAGGCCTATCAAGTATCGAGAATTCTGATCGATTAATGTAAATGGAACTACGCAGAACTTTTGAAAACCGACCTGCAAGACTTGCAGGGAAAAAAGGAGGGGAAATCACACACATTTAGATCACTCAATAAATCAAACATGCTAGTTAAGAATTTCTGGAATTCCCTCTATCACCAACCTATGAATTACAGCACAAATGCCAGCTAGCTAGCAAAAGCACCCACAATGTTGACATCATATTCAGATAATGGCGATTACGAATCTGAGTCTTCGAGTATATGATTTTTTATCAGTCGACATGCTGTTTGTGCTAGCTAGTGCTGGAAAACCTTTTAATTTTGTAATGATTGAGGTACAAGTGTGATGAATCTGCCTCCACAATTCGCACCGATTGCCAATTTCCACTTGAATTATTGTAGCTTTTCACTTTTTCCAACTGAGGGAGGCTTATTAGGAGACTTGTGCTGCACAATTATGCAGGCCTCTTTCTTGGAGGCTTTCCTGCAAGGCACTGTTCTTTCTCTCATTGGTTCTTTTCCAGTCCTTTTGGCATTGTTATATTTTTCAAGCTTTATTTCCTTCTTAATTAAAGCAAAGATATCGATCGATCCATCACATCAGACACATTCCTTCATGGACTAATGTTATTCATTTAACACAATATTAATAAATAGCCTATGAGCGGGAGGGAGCCGCCTAGTTATAAAGGGTTTCTAAACCAGTAAGGAATTAAACAGGTTAAACATATATGTCTGGGCCTGATGTGATTCGGTCAAGTGCAAGTTTATGCATAAAGCAAAAATTGCATTATCTCAATCACATCAAGGTTCGATTTTAACCTTTCTGCTTCTCAATATCATGGATGCATCGTAACAAAGGAATTTCTGCGATACCTAGTTAATTACTCTACTCGATCCATCCCAAAACAGGCTTCCCAAAATTTTTCCTTTGTGGAAAAATGTGCGCATAACGAATCGATGAAACTTGATTAGTGTACTGCAAATGTTTTTTGATTCTTCTAAGGTAAAGGAGACAGTTTGATATATGCGGTCCAGTATTTGTTGATGATACTCTTTGCGCCAACCCCAAGTACGTAGTTGAGACAATGACACCATTGGTGTGGCTTAATACGATATTACGATCGACGAGGTCTCGCGTGCTGTCGAATATATATAATGCTTCAACCAACGTTAGTTATGCGAGTAAATCGTATTTTGTTATTAACATTGCCATCGTGCGTCAGGTTAAAATGCTATAAAAGCACAGTGGCTTTTTAAATTCTTATGTAAATTGTAATTTTTCTTGGGTGTGGCAAAATTAAAAAAAAAAGCAGTTTTTTTTTTGCAAAGTATATTAATTAATTGTTATCTTAAAAACTGAAATTTATGTGGGGAACAAAATACGTTAACTTCTCTCAAATGTGTTAAAATGATATTTTGAAAAATGAGCTTCATTCTGAGAGTTAATTCATTACAGCTCACATTTTTGTGTTGCTTCTAGCTAGCGACTGCATATGACAATGATCATATATAATGCTCTATGCGGTCTTGTCTATCAAATTTTGATTGAAGCATGCATTAGTGGTCGAACCCCAGTCGCTTGATGTTTCTGAGAACGAAATGTTCTGGTAAGCTTCAAATTAAAATTCCCTTCTTTTTTGGTTAAACCCGTATTTATTATTGTATTGTGGCGTATTCATGAAAAGGAGATCATATTGGCTGATGTTTTTTTTTTTTTTGCCGCTAAGTTTCTAATGTAACAGTAAAATATAAGCCAATTGCCCTCGTTATATTTTACTTGACCATCGACCAAATTTAACACTCAATTGGTGAAAAATAAATTTTGATCTTTTATTCGAAATGCAGTTTTGAAATTTCTAATTAAGAATTATGCTACTTTAATATTTTACAGTCGTTGTTCAATCCGTTTCATATGAACCGTTGATTCATTAAACGGCCAAAAAAAAATTAGTTCAAACGGCCAGAATCGAGACATCAAATCAAAACTACCTTTATATACTAATTTGATATCCTATCTAATAATTATCTTTTTTCTTTTGCCATACCTACCTAATAATTATTCAAACATGAGATATTGCAATTAAGATTTGTGATGATCATGGTGTTATTTATACATGTTTTTATTTCCCTTTCGATAACAAAGGTTGTTTAGTTTAGAAAAGGAATAAAATCTAATATAAATTATAATAAAATACGAATCTAATTATTTTTTTATCCATGCTATTAATTATGATCTTCTACTAATTCAAGCGTCCATACGAATTGCTGGGGAGATCTAAATTAAATTTGCCAGAATATCAAGAACACAAGAACATAACCCATATGGACATCCCTCGAAGGAAAGCGTACAAGTAACTTTGTAGGAAATAAAGGCTAAAGATTTGTTGACTTAGGAGTGAGGCAAGCAAAAATCCACGTCAACTAACCACACTAGTATCACAAATGGTTCGTGGCGATGAATTTGCTAAATAAGGGGTTTGCGGAAGAGGATGAGCAAAATATAAATAAATATATTGTGAGATGAATTAATTAGGAAGGCGTCAAATTCCAAGTCTGGTCTTTGTCTCAAATTTCGCATCTCGTCAAAAATTTGCTTTCTTTTTTAAAATAATTAATTAATTTCAACTTCCTTATCCATCCACTTCACTATCATCCACTACGCTCGCAATAGTTGCCACGAAACCCCTATATATGTCTTCCTCTTCATAACTCCCTTCTTTGCCTCCCCACCGCTTCCTTCTTCCTCTTGCTTCTTCTGGGTGTGTGGGATTTATTCATGCATTAATTAATATATTTAAATAAGGAAAGTGGGAAATTAACACATAACAATATATAATAATGGGGGACGACCACGCAGTGAACTTATCGGAGTCAAGAGGTTTCATCAGGAAATTCAAAGCAGGATTGAAAGAAACGTTTTTCCCAGACGATCCGTTCAGGCAGTTCAGGAACGAGACCGAGGGTCGTCGGAGATCCATAAAAGCTTTGCAGTACTTCATTCCCATCTTCGAGTGGCTTCCCAATTACTCTTTCCGTCTCTTCCTCTCCGACCTGCTCGCCGGCCTCACCATCACCAGCCTCGCCATCCCTCAGGGCATTAGCTACGCCAAGCTCGCCGCCATCCCTCCCATCGTCGGCCTCTGTAAGCCATTATATATTCACTCTCTTCCATTCAATATTCCTTTACCTGTTCCATCTCTTATAGTGTAATATATATATATATATATATATATATATATCAGATACGGCCTTCGTTCCGCCTATTATATACGCCGTTTTCGGGAGCTCAAGGCACGTGGCAGTGGGTCCGATCGCATCGTGCTCCTTGATCATATATGAGAGTATTTCGAGCGTAGTATCTCCGGACGACAATCCAGTGTTGTATCTTCATTTGGTTTTCACATCCACCTTCATCACTGGTGTGTTCCAGGCTGCTCTGGGTGTTTTAAGGTAACAAAACAAACAACATCTTTTAAGGTTGTTTGGTTTGGATTTGAGTATATATCGTTGAATGTTTCATGCATGACATGCGTATGAATTAAATGGCAGGCTGGGGATATTGGTGGATTTCTTTTCGCATTCAACTATTACAGGCTTCATGACTGGCACCGCCATCATTCTCATATTCCAACAATTGAAGGGCTTGTTTGGCCTCAAACATTTCACCACTAAAACCAACGTCCAAGGTGTTATCCGCGCCATCTGGCGCTACAGATCCGAGGTTTGTATGAAACACACCCCTACTGCTTCTGTCTTTTGCCCATAAATTTTTCAATGCTGAGAATGGACTGTGTTTTGCTATTTATATATCGTCACCTTATGGGAAAAAAATAGATAAAGTGAATAAATTAATGTAATTAAGCTTCTTTTTTTTTTTTTGGGTCTTAAACAGATAAGGTGGGAGACTACTGTTCTTGGTCTGGTGCTTCTTGCTTTCTTGCAGTTCACTAGATTCGTGGTGAGTACTGCTGTCTTTTCCAATATGCATAGAGCAGCGGACAAGAAAAAACTTTGGTTTGAACTTTTGTCTGCACATAGGATGTCACCTCCATATAACATGCGTATATTTGTAAATAATATAAAAATTTAAGAAAAAATCCTCAAAAAAATGATTGTTGAATTTTAAAATTTCATATAAGTATTAGTTACTACACTTGTAAAGAAAATTACTACACTCGAAAAGCAAATGACCACATATTCTTGTAATAATTCCTTATTTAGAATTTTAAAATTCAACAATCATTTTTTTGGATTTTTTCAAAATTTAATCATGCCGTTGTTTAATTTGTTTGTAGTATATTTTCTATACTCCATATAACACACAAAAGACTCCCTCAATGTACAAGAATAAACTATTGCTTTATTCATATTTGCTTATATTTATTCAGCTAAGCATAATGTTTGTGCATATACATGCATATTATATCCATATACTTGTATATAGTGGCCTGCACTATTTGGAGCACTAAGAGGTCTCATGATCCATGAAAAATAATCGTGCAGTATTAGATAGCATCGACCAATACCTCAAAGTTCCTCTTTATGAGTTTATCTTCACTATATGATTTTTCAGAAGTACAAAAATCCAAAACTCTTTTGGGTACCAGCTCTGGGTCCAATCATAACGGTCGTGGTTTCTGGCGTTTTCACTTTCCTTGTTAAAGGCCAAGATCATGGAATTCAAATTGTAAGGAGCTATCTTTTACATATTATTTATTTTCATATACACATACAAATATATTCCAGAAATTATTATTTTTTATTTATGTGACAATTTTTTTAGGTGGGTCACCTGGACAAAGGAATCAATCCTCCCTCCATTCACTTGTTAAACTTTGACTCTCGGTATATACCATCGGTGTTGAAAGCTGCCTTAATCACAGGCATTTTGTCCTTGGCGGTACATTTCAACTTCATATCCATCATCATCACTAGTCACTACAATTAACTTATTACGTAATTATATTTACTTTATGTTACAAATAATAATATTATCAGGAAGGCATAGCAATAGGAAGGAGTTTTGCTGTGATGGATAATACACCTCATGATGGAAACAAGGAGATGATAGCATTTGGCCTCATGAACCTGTGCGGTTCTTTCACTTCATGCTACTTGACAAGTGGTATGTGTAAATACATAAATTGATCACACAAAATACTAATTCCTACGTAATTGAGCAAATCAATCAGTAAAACATATATAAATATACATAGTTAACGCGTAATTTTATTTTATTTTTTTAATATGCAGGACCGTTTTCTAAGACTGCGGTGAATTACAACGCAGGTTGTAAGACAGCCTTTTCAAACATAGTACAATCGATTCTAATAGCATTAGCACTTATATTCCTAGCTCCTCTCTTCGGTTACACTCCTCTGGTGGCTCTAGCTGTGATTATTATTTCTGCAATGATTGGCCTCTTGGACTACCACGAGATGGCTCACCTCTTCAGAGTTGATAAGTTTGATTTCCTCATCTGCATGGCTGGCATTCTTGGGGTCGCCTTTATAAGCATGGACATCGGTCTCGCAATGTCCGTGAGTACTCAATTTAACTAGCTAGCTTCTTCCCCCCATCTTTTGATTCTTCCTTTACTGTATAATTACTTGGTTAGATCAAGCTAATTAATTATTGTATGTTCATTAATCGAATCTTAATTAAGGTGGGGCTTGCTTTGTTGAGAGCACTCTTATATGTGGCTCGACCTGCCACTTGTAAACTGGGAAGGTTATCTGATTCGGGTTTGTATCGCGACGTGGAGCAGTATCCAAACTCATCGAACGTCCACGGCGTCCTAATTATACAAATTGGTTCTCCTCTTTACTATGCAAACTCCAATTATATCAAAGAAAGGTTATTTCATTTTACAACCTCAGATTACATTTCATTTGGTTTTATATATGTGTCACTCTCCATCTTTTATCATCTGATTGATTTATAAACAATTTGGTTTTGCAGGATTTTGAGGCACATCCGAAGTGAGCAGGCCTCTGGAGATTCCGTTGAGCACCTTATACTCGATTTTTCAGGTGATTCATCTACCCCAGATTGTTGGGGAAAAAATTATATAAACATCATATTTTGTTACATATTATATAAACATCATTTCTTCTTATTGTTTTGGTATTTTAACGAATTATAGGAGTTACATCGATCGATATGACTGGCATCAAAGGATTGTTGGAGGCACGAAGAGTATTGGAGAAAAATGATATACAGGTAACTCTCACACACACACAAGCATTGCATGTTTGTGTTACGTCCCATAGTTTGAGATATGTACATATGTAATTGACCTTAATTACATGTTACGTATATATTTGGTAGATATTGATAGTGAATCCAAGACTGGAGGTAGTAGAAAAGCTAGTGACATCTCACTTTGTGGACACCATTGGGAGGGAGTCTTTCTACTTGACTATAGATGATGCGGTGATGGCAACTCAATATTCTCTCCGAAAATCCAGAAAAGCTGACACAATTATCTGATTATATATATATAATTCAGTGTCTCTTTTTCATCATCAAGAAGATGATTATGATAACGTGTAGATAGGTTTGTCACGAGCGGAGTAGAATGTACTGGTTTTTTGTTGTTAACTTAGGAAATTCCATTTGAGCGCATTATTTCCCTTAATTATGTCCCTACGCAATATTTGGTTCCTGAAATTCGCGAATAAAATAGGATGTGTAAACCCTCTGTAACATTAGTGTATATCTGTATCAGTACCCATATTACAACTACAAATTCATCTCTAGCTTTTGTTCCACGCGTGTTTGTTATTTGTCTTCGGGATTTGATGATATTTTTTCTTTATGCACGAATTAAGGTGGTTCCATGTGTATGAGTAGAGGATAGGTTCCATGAGTATGAGCAAAGGATAGATTCTGTTTGTGAATTCTTATTATCAAGTTTAACTCGACATGCAAAAAACTTAAGAGTGAAGAGTGAAAACAAGCCTATATATAATCAAGTCTGTTTCTTCCAACCTACCTTCAAGTACATAAGGTTGTAATAAAGAGGAAAGACGAAAGGCCACTAGAAAGGTTGAAATGTGTCCCACCGAAGAAGCAACACATCATCTTCACTCAGGCGCATCGGATTTAGCGTTTCAACATCAAACACTGAAAGCACTGATTCTAAAATGTTTAAATCTTGCTATGAAAAGCATACATCTTCTTCTGAATCTGTAAAACGAAATAATTGTATAAGGATATGTTGGAAAACTCATGCTGCATATGGGGAAAATCATATCACCTGCAGAATTCAACCCAATAAAATTGGCCTGGTCTTTATGAAGTTTTACAGTTCTTAAGGTCGGAGATACAAGTAATCTGTCGCATATTGATGTCCCGATTATGACTCCATATTAATGTTGTCACCGAAATTGCTCCTTGTTCTTTTAGTAAAATTTTGGACACTTGAAACTATTGATCAGTCTTGCCCCAACCCAAAGCCACAGTATGCCCTGCCCACCCAAGCTATTATCACACGTCTCCTCGATCAGCAATACCTGTTTTTTTGCTTTGGGTGAAACACTAGGAATATATCTTCTACTAGTAGTAAAACACTAATCTCTCCTAAGAACCAAAGTTGCCTTTGAGCAGGACCGGCTTTGCTATAAAAAACATTCTAAAAACTGGACAGTGATTTAGTGTTGCAGGGGCATATGTAAGTATAAAATTGTTACCAGATTATTGTTGCTTTTGCAAAATTTTCTTTGCATCACCATGCATTGTGTTTCTGTTGTGGAGATGTCCAAATTTAGAATGAACACTTACTGAATTCTTCAATTGAACAGCTTACACAGCTTTAAGTGGCTGTGGTAAAATAAAAGCATAGACCTATCCTGATTCATAAATTCCATATTCCCCCCGTTCCAAAGTTTTTTTTTTTTTTTAATTTGAAAGTCTCTGACTTCCCAAGTACCTAAACAGCCTTGACTTCCTTGTTTACTTCATCACTGACTTGTCCTTTATCTGTCTTTTTGAACTGACTTCTCTTCTGCAGTCTTCTCTGCAAAAATTTAGCTGGGTCGATGACAAGTTTGTCTGTAATAAAATTACAACACAGTGGACAAATTAAGGTTTTTGAAGCACTTATAAATAACATAAGATTTCTGGCTGTTCATCAGACTCTTCCATGAGTTCTGGCATCTCTCATGTTTGCTTAATTAACTGTACAGCCGGGATGTGAACTCAGTTGTTATGGGCATTTTCCCTGTCTGGTGAAACTAAAAGTTAATCCCATGATGGCCTATTTTGCAAGTGTCTCCCTTTATTGGGCAAATAGGCAGGGTATGGTCCAAGTGGTTTGTGACTTTTATTAGCCTCCGGCCGCTTATTTGGCTTCATGCGTGATGATTTTTTATCGTTTTATTTGCACTTTTGATATCTTAGCTCTGGATTACTTACGATGGTAAATTATTTTGCTGATTATTTAAAACAATACTAGTGATATTAACCCCTCATTCTATATACAAATCACAGGACTTGAGGAACCTCACCAAATTAAAACCGCAGGTGATCCATAATCCATTATATTTCCTGACTATGTCTTAGCTTTCCTAACTCTCTCTCCATTTTATCCATTGCCTAATGAGTTAGATAGTTTCTTTTAACATCTTTTTCCTGTTAGTTGGCTGATTTTACTGAGGCTGGACCATATTTCACCTGCATCCTATTCTTCATGAATGTTATCTCCTGTGGTTATGCTAATTAACTACATGCATTCCGCGGCTTCACTATGTAGTCAGGTTTTACCAACATTAATTTTTATCCCATGAAAACTAGATTATTCAATCGACGAGCCTGTGGAGCCATTGCTTAAAAGTTCAGCGCGTTAAATATTAGGAACTTTAGCCTGCAGTGCCTAACATGATCAGTAGTTGAGGACGTTAGGTGAAAATGTTCATGAGCCTTTGCTGCCCAATATACTCACATGCATAGTTCCGTACTAACTTTTCCTTTTCCTTTTTCTTTTTCTCTAAAGAGAAGGAAGGACTCAGCTCATTATTACCTAAGTCTTGTTTCTTCAAAAACTGCACAGTCTTGCTGTGATCTTGAAGAAGAAAATTATTGTTCAAAGTCACTTTGATTAGCTTATTTTTCCCATCTTCCTTTTGCTTTTCCTGTTCCCTCGTGTCACGAAGTGTGGAAAGTGTTTCCTTTTCACCTTTCTTTTATTTAGTTTTTTTGCTTGTCTTTTTCTGGAAGACATTTCTTTTAAAAAAAAAAAAAAGATCAGAAGAAAAACAATAGTTATGTTTTTCCCCTCTCTGTTTCCCCCCACTTTCCCTTAAATTTGGTGGGAGACGTGTGATGAGGATGAGAAGAAGAATGATAGGGCAGAGGAGGAGGGTGGTGATAATAATTAAATGAGCTATAAGAACAGGGTTGTGCTCAGACTCATAAATGGCAATATAATGAAGGCAACAGGAGAAATTGAACAGTGAAGAGGACAACAGCTTCACTGGATCTGTACGCAGAAGCCAATAATGCACTTATTCAATTCCTGAAACGGAGTGAAACCTATCCACACAGTGGTTAGGTGATTCATTCATTACATACACTCACTCCTCTTTTACTCCTCCACCCCCTCCCTCCCATTAATTGCCATCCCCTTATCTACATTCTGCTAGCCTCCTTCTAAATGAAATCTCAATCCTCTGTTCGAGTTTGAGTATTTGAAGCTGCTACTCTGTGTTTACCTTTTTCTGATATGTATTCAACAACTTGTAAACCAAAAAATCCATATTCTCACATGACTTGTGACATGGTGACTTCTGAGAAGGGCACATAAAAAAATTTGAAATATTGATATGCTGATCTCATACTGTTGATGAGATTGTGCTGTTTATATGCTCCACAACTTGTTGCTGGTTGTCAGTAGTCAGTAGTGGAACATTATATAGACACACAGCTCTTTGGAACTTAAAATGAATCTCAGTTATATATACATAGCATTATACTTGATGTACATACATATAATCATTTACCACTTTGGTTCTTTTGCTCTTTGTGAGCTTATTAGCTCAATACGCGGTTGAAACAACTGTGTGTTTTTGAGGAAAAGGATACAGGAAGTAGTTTTGTTGTGACGTGCCGACAAGTTCATGGGTTGTATCCCTCACCAGCTGTCACTTTCGAAATCACACATGAGGACAGAAGAGGGAACTAGCTTTAAAAAACTAGTGCTTGCATGTGGGGGTGGGGTTCATATTCTGCCTTTTCTACTTTCTTTTGTTTCCTTTTTGCCTTTCAAAACACATCATTCCTATATATATAAAAGACTAACCTTTTTCATATATCATATGAAGCCTAAAATCGTCGGGATTTTATCACCTCAACCATATCAAACACTTCTATCAGGACTTTCTCAAATCTAAAATCGCAAGTTTAAAACTTTTATAGAAGTACGGGCTGAAATGTATCATACAAATATCTATCCATGTTTCATAACTTTTAACAGGACTTGTTACGGGTTTTATGGTATACTGATTAATGTGCTGATAGCATAATGCCTAAATGTACTATTCATGGGCTCATAATCTCTATCTGGATGTGGAGTAAATTTGAAAGGAAATGGTGAACAAAACCGCTTTGTATTAAAGGGTTAGGGTTCGGAGTAAAATAGAGATCCCACCAACCACCTGTTGAATGTCACGTCGTGTCCATAGATTACAGCCAGAGCATGCCCCGAGACAGAATCTCAACCCATTCCTAAAATGATGGCTTGGATTCGTGGGATCCAACAACAGCCTTTGGTGGACTTCTAATCCCTCTCTTGAAAATCTCTAAAATAGGTTTTCTTTTTCTAAAAATACTCTCCTTTTTTTTTTAGCTGAATTTCAAAAAAGACTTTGAAAAATAGATCTCTGTGTGGGTGGTTTAATTTTTTTAATCTCTGCTAGAAGAAATCCGCATGTATTGCAGGAACTGAACGGTACTTTTTTCTTATTGCAGCCGATATCCTCACATACATTTCGAGGAATTACAAACTAAATTAATTCCAATTGAGACATTATAACAAATAACCATTGAAGTTGACGCTTCTAGTTCTTCAAGATACTGCATGCCTAGGGGATCAAACCTGTAATCCTTGAATAAGTTGGGACAGCCCCATCCAACCAGGTGACCTAACTTCATGGGGTTAACTGAACGTTGCTCTTATAAAATAGAAAGACATCCAAACCAAAATCATATTTAATGTAACTTGACCTAATTTATGTGATCTGATCTTTAATATAAGAGTTAGAGTTAGTTGACTAATTTAAATAGATGAAAAAAATTAGTTAGATTAGTCTTTTGTAGTAAATAGATATTATCTTTCCTAAAATATATTTACTAATCAAGTATATTGGCTGGAACTATCATTTTTACAAAGACTATCTTGAAAAAAAAAATAGATAAAATAGATTGGAGTTTTATATTTAGAACTAAAATAAAAGTCAAATAAGCTTTTATATTAAGAATTGGAGATAGTAGTATTACATTAACTTTGATCTTTAAGGTTAAATAGTAGCGGCAGCAGCATTTTGTTGAGGGAGTGGGATGTATTAACGCCGCCACCGTGCCATTTATTTTAATAAAATAAAATTACTTAAATACCCAAGCTTGATACGATCATATTTATATGAACGGCGCTCAAGGAGTGTTTGGATATAACTAAACCATGGTTTGGAGAATAGCTTCTGAAGAATAGATTCTGGGGAGAATAGATTTTTT